TCATTCAACTACACGTTCAAAAACGCTGATTCATTCATTCAAAGAGACGTAATGAAACACGCTGTTGAAATCATTTTAACTTTGAGCGCCACTTTAGGAGACTCAGCTGACCAGCTATGCGTCGATGCTAACACAGAGATTTCGCTTTCCTTGGACATGACAACCTATTTTCACAAATATATATGACTCTGCCTGGAGGACAGACGCAAGCGCAGTCGAGCTCTCTCTCATTCACTGTCTTCTTAGGCTTGTTAAGTGCAAATCTACGGAGCCTCTGTACAAATCAGCATGGTACACATTATGTTATCATTACTAACTTGTTTAATATTCAGTCCACATGCATGAAGTGTAAAACGAGAAGGGCATAACCTTACGAAAAAAATAAAACACGCAAAAATCGCGGTTGCTGCGGTTCTTGCATTCCTCTGCGGTTTGCTTGTCAATAGCGCGGTATTGCGATATTGCGGTTATCGCGACAGCCCTAGTCAGGCGCCGACCGATCAAGCGATCCCGGGGGGGCTACCGACGCGCGGAGGGTGGCGTTTGATAGGGCTCCTCGAGCTGAAGGGATCCCCCGAATTTGGTGGAGATCCGCCGGCGTGTTTGCGAGAAAGTGACACCAGCTAACACTTTCACTTCAGTAAGGAGGTCTTTTGTTCAGGCAGCAGCATTCAAGCATGGTCTTATTCGACCGTAAGTGCCCTGCGAAGTGGACTTGACATGAAATTCCGCCATGATTCCAGTTCCAAGGGAACGTACACTAGGGATGGGCGATATGGGCTTAAAAATATATCACAATATTTCTGGTATTTATTACGATAACGATATCAATGACGATAATTCAGGGAATCCTGTTTCTTTTAAGAAAAGTATTATCTTTCCTAGGTTTACCCAAAATAGGGTAAGCATTAATGAGTTCACACATAATGTAAAGTGTTTTAATTCATACTGGAAGCCGGAGGGCGATCTTGCACAGAAACTCCACATATCCATAGCAGAAGAAATACTACTGACGATGCGCCAGGAAGGTATCCAGTTATCGCTGAATAAAACGCACAACGGAGGTAGAGACATTTTAACAGATGAAACTTGAGGAAAATAAACCTACGACTGCACAAAACATATGGTTTATCTGTGTTCTTCAGTCTTGGGTATTTTTATAAGGAAAGTATATTTATAATGCAATGTTAATCGACATGGCCTTTATCACTGTATATAATACTATCATTCTGTAATATGAAACCATGTCTGATCACAAAAAGAAGTATTTCAAACACTCGACTATGTTATTAAGTTAATTAGATAGACAGACACAAACTGTGTTGAATAACATTATCTCTTACTGGTTAAGACAAATCCTGTCTGCTTCCCAAACAAATTAATTTTCAAAAACAACTTATTAATATGTATGACTTACTTAATATGTGCATAAAAAGATCTCACTGGAAGGGGAATGATCATGCACTTTGGTGTTTGTGCCTTGATTCCTTTCATTGATTCATATAAGTCTATAGCTTTCAGGGAACCCTTCACATGTTTTTGACTGACTCGGTCTTAAATGTTTCCTATCAGCACAACAAGGACAGCTTAGTCAGCGGAGCCTTTTCCAGTAGACTGCATTGCAATAAAACATGGATAAAAAGGATCCCAGACTTTTTAAAACGTCATCCCAGGTCCTTCTCAGCTCTAGAACTGGGAACTCACACATGGTTTTATGATGTGGCTTCACCTTTAGGTCTCTCTTCAAAGGGTCTCAGTAAAGGCTGGAGTCCAGTAATGAACTTCTGATGTGGGTCAAAAAAACCTCTAATGACTTTGCAGGATACAGATAACTAAACGCAAAAAGACTAAACAAATGCTGACAGTCAAAGTTTCACATTCAGTTTCCAGACTTTCTTTAAATTTCTCTATTTGAATGGTTCAGAGATAAGGCAGAACTTTTAGGCCTAAAAATCTGTGGCTGAGTTTGTGAGCTACTTAGTACAAGCACCAATGGAGTGCATAAGAGAAAAGAAGCTCCAAGCCCACATTAATATTCATTGGAAGTTGCTGAGGAAGAAAAGGGGTCCACAAAAGAGTTTGCACAAACAGCTCCTAAAGATCCGCTTGGTCCTGTGGTGACAAACTGCCACCAGACCAGAGTAACAAAACTAGAGCAAGAAAATTCGTAAAACTGTCCAGAACAACACTCAATTTCCAATTTTCCTGTACTTTTTAGGATTGTATTTGTAAGATAAGTCATTTGTTTAAACTAACATTAAAGGGATAGTTCACCTAAAAATGAAAATTTGATGTTTATCTGCTTACCCCCAGGGCATCCAAGATGTAGGTGACTTTGTTTCTTCAGCAGAACACAAACTAAGATTTTGAACTCAAACTGTTGCAGCCTATCAATCAGTCTTATAATGTAAGTGGATGGGAATCACGGCTTTGGGAATCATAAAACATACACAAAACAAATCTAAATTAAAACCCTGCGGCTCGTGACGATACAGTGATGTGTAAAGACACGAAACGATCAGTCTGTGCAAGAAACTGAACAGTATTTATATAGTTTTTTACCTCTGATCCACCATACACCCAAATCCACCTATCAGGATTTTGCATATTGCTACATACAACTGTTTTTCTGTAGCTCAAGGCCCGTTTAAATAACTTATTCACTTGACAGATACACCGCAGGGTCATCTGAGGGGACGAACAGATTGAAATCCTTTGTTTCCAAACTGTAACTCCCATAAGGCTCTAACGTAAATGTGCACAAAAGCAACGGCGCGTACTAAACTGCTGTGAGCGCAAATGCGGCAGTTACATAATAAAGCCACGAGTCGATGTTCCGTTCTCCACGGCGGAGCCGCGCTACACAAATATCACGTTCAAAGACGGATGCTTCAATCTCAAATCAAACTCACCAACTGGTCCTGGACTCGGCAGGGATTTCGCCAGCGTCCTCCAAGCACTAGAGAGGAAAAGCAAAAGAAAAAAAGAGCGGGAGGTGTGCGGTGGACGCATTCTCACAGTGGCATCGTCAGATCCTCTTTAAGTAGCAGTTCATCCATGTTTCGTTGCGGGATGGCACAAGACTGACTGCTCCAAAGTGCGGTTGCCCACTCCCTTCCCAAGTACTGCTCCGCTTTTTTCAGTACTGTTGTCCCAGATGGGAGGGGGAGATTTTGGAGTGCAGCGATTCCATGCGCCCTCTGTCGTGTGTCATGCAACTTCGTTTCAATAATTTGAGCGTTCTATCCATCCGTAAATGAAAATTTGCTGAAAATGTATTCACCCTCAGGCTATCCATGATGTAGATGAGTTTGTTTCTTCATCAGAACAGACTTGGAGAAATGTAGCATTACATCACTTGCTCACCAATAGATCCTCTGCAGTGAATGGGTGCCGTCAGAATGAGAGTCCAAACAGCTGATAAAAACATCACACTAATCCACACAAATCCAGTCCAGCAGTTAATGCCTTGTGAAGTGAAAAGTGGCATGTTTGTAAGAAACAAATCCATCATTAAGGCTGTTGCATTTTAACTTGAAAACATTGCTTCTGGACAAAATATGAATCCATAATACATAACAACGCTTCCTCCAGTGAAAAAGTCCATACCCTGTTATCCTCTCACATCAGAATCCGCAAACATATTTGTTTAGAACTGTTTAGGATGGTTTTCATTTGTAAACAGTGCTTGATTTGAGCACATTTCTCCTAAATCAGGAGAGACAACTTTTTCACTTAAGAAAGCAATATTATGGATAGAGGACTGGTATTTCAGCCGGAAGCAATGGTTTACAGTTAAAATGCCTCGGATTTGTTTATTACAAACATGCAGCTTTTGGCTTCACAAGATGTTTATTGATGGGCTGAAGTCATGTGGATTACTTATGGATTATTGCAATGTTTTTATCAGTCGTATGGACGGCACTCATTCACTGCAGAAGATCCACTGATGAGCAAGTGATGTAATACATTTCTACATTTTTCTAAAGATGCTAAATTTCTCCAAATCTGTTCCAATCAAGAAACGAACTCATTTACATAATTGATTTGATTTTCAGCACCTTACTAACCTTCTAGTTAACTACTCCTTTAAGGCTATATTTTTATTATTTTTATTTGGTAATAAATGAAGCTTTACACACATAAATAAACAGCATGTTTGAGAAATATGATTAAAATGACTCACACAAGGCAAAGACTGGAGACAAGTAAGGCTTTAGCTAAATGTAAACTACTGAGTGCACTTCTGAGTCACACACCACAGTTTTATGATAACACGTTATGTGATTCAATCTTATCCATACAGTGTTCACAGTTTTTGCCTCACTACTAGTCATGAAAATGTACTCTCATCCTTAAACTGTGCTCACAAACAAATGTTTTATATACACACCAAAGCATTGTGATTACACACTTCAGTGCAGACAAGACATTTTAATGACTGACAACAACAATGAAAAACAGCAGAAATTAAATGACTTACAATGAGTGAAACATATGCATAATACATTTTGGTGGAAATTGTTCATAAGTTAGATTAAATGAATGTGACAGTTTAAATAAAAATGAATAAGGCTCAGTGTTCATAGTCTGTTCTACAGCTCAATGATCTGATTATGACTGATAATCAAAATGCATCATCACTCATCTGAAATACTTCAAATGTTACTAATAAGGGCAGTGGGTTGGAGACAATGCTAATTTATCTACATTTCTTTAACATAAATTTAAATGCAAGCCATGAGTATCAGTGTACCTTTTATTAGAATGATTGTTGAAGGATCATGTGACACCGAAGACTGGAGTAATGATGCTGAAAAGTCACAATATTATTAATCACAATATTAATCACATTATCATAATTTTTCAACTAAATGTAGCTTTGGTGAGAATAAGAGACTTCATTCAAATGATCCCAAAATGCTGGCTCTATAACCATAGTACATATTTAATGCAATTACAGAAAAACAGACTACAATTAGCAAACAAACTTAAAAAACAAACAAACAAAACCCTCAAGATTTGTGATGTCTCATCAAGATGTCTCGTTAGGTTCTCCACTCAGTTGCTGCATGTCATCGCCATCATCGTCACATGGAGGACGGTTACGCTTGAAAAAACCCACCTTAAACATACAGTGTTGTTTGTTAAACTTAATGGAGATTTATGTGGTTCGCATACATATATCTGTTTTACAGTGATGTGCTTTGTTTGTTGCTGGCCAGGAGCCCTGTATGGGACAAAGCACCCTCTGCTGTACCTTCCAGAAGATGGTGCTCAGTGCAGCCAGTAGAAGCAGTCCAGCGATGATTGACACTACTATCCACCACACAGGTACCTCCTCTTGTCCATCTGGGCGTCTCCATACTATATTTGTATGTGTCTAAATAGATTTACAATGAGTTTTAATGAGGAGTAGCTTATGTTTTATGATACAAACCAAAGAACTAATGTCTCACCTCTGCTTTTCCTCTGGGCAGCACATCTGGCTTGATTTTTGAGGGCACATCTGCCACCTCATAGTGAGCCGTGGAGTGAAGAACGAAATTTACGTATGGTCTCTAGGTGGCAAATGGAGATAGAAACAGCGAGAGAAAGAGCTATGAATATCAGATGATTTCATCAAATGTGCCTGTTTGATCTTTAAAGTTTTGCCCACCTTTAAGAAGGTTTGTACCCACAGTCTGCTCATCACTCTCACTATGGCCCTCTCATCTCTCTGCAGTCCCGCAGCCTCACACTCAAACCGAAGACACTGCTCACCACTAGAGCAGTTCTGCACAGTGAGAGATATAACAATATGTAACATGAAAGATGGAGGCATTTGCACAATTTATGTGCTTAAACTGTAGAATTATCAACATTTCTATGAATCAACAGCTACTGGTAACAAGAGGGACCAATCTGTGATATCACCTTCTACTGGCAAAGAAGAATCACACAAAACAAAACAAAACAAAACAAAACTTTTTTTATTGTTGCAAATTGCTATTGTTTTGAACTTTCTATTCATCAAAGTATTCTGAAAAAAGATGATTAGAGTTTCTACAAAAATATTAAGCAGCACAACTGTTTTCAACATTGATAAAAATAAGACATAAGACATAATAAGTTACTTGTGAACCAAATCATCGTATTGGAATAATTTCTGAAGGATCGTGTGACAAAGAAGACTGGAGTAATGGCTGCTTAAAATTCAGCTTTGCGTCACAGAAATAAAATACATTTTAAAATATATCAAAATAGAGAATAGATATTTCAAAGTGCAATAATATTTCATAATATTACTGTTTTTGCTGTGTTTTTGATCAAATAAATGGTGAGCATTAGAAACTTTCAACAACAATAAAAAATCTTAATTATTCCAAACCGTACCACATGGACAGTATTTTGCCACTGCTGTTCATATTCTGCTTTCTGTGACAGGTCACGTTTGTTGAAATGATGAACATGGGTGCTGGAGGGCTCCAACTTTACTAACTGTGGACCAAGATAAATAGGAAAGGTAGCAGTTATAGCCATTGAATAAACGGTATTATACTTACAAAAATATATCATGATTTTTTTTGTACATGGCACCATAGTTATACCACAGTATCTTGGAGTGATATGTAAATCCCAATAATTATGATTATAGTAATCATTCAGTATCATAATCAGTATCAATATAGCATGTATTAAAATAAATGGTAACACTGTACTATATGGTACCACCTCAGTAAACTGTTGTTAGGGTAAATCCAGTGTTTACAGACATTGGTGTGCTTTTTTTAATAGTATAAAGTGTGTTAAGATTATATTTTCTGACAAATGACTTGTTCAGAGAGTTTAATTTAGAAATGATGGTCAGTAGGGGGCACTCTCACCCCACGTGGGTCGATGTTGGAGTAGTCTGTCTGACAGGAGATGAGCTCTTCAGAGGCATTTGCAAACACATACAGCAGATAGGACTCATTTTGTGAAACAGGAAACTCCAGTGTAAGCTTTACGTTGACTGGACTGGGGCCCATGTTCCTTAGCTGAGACAGGAGAGTAAAAACGTATGCACAAGTATCGCGAAACCACTTAAGTGAAGGTGTTAACTGTAATCCTAGACTGAGCATATTACCTCATATACATGCTCTACGAGTTGGCCTACTTCATCCAAGTCTTTTGGGAAATCCTTCGGCTCCCATTTAGCAATAGGCAGGACACAGTCAACCGGAGAAGAGACTCTGTAACAGTGTTAATTTAGTGTCATCAATATACAGTTACAGATTTTGTTAGTATTTTGAATGAGCCTTTTTAAAAATATTTTCTGTTTTCATTTTCATGTAAAAAAAGTGTTAGTAATTTTATTGTGCAGTTTTTGTGTGTAGGTTTTGTCATTTTTATTAGTTTATTTTTATGTGTATGTAGTTTTTAAGGTTTGGTGTTTAGTTTTATTTATTTATTAAATTATTTAGTACTTCATCATAAAAATAACAAAAATGAGAATGTTGCTTTGATTCTACTTTTTAGCAAACACATCATCTTCTCCCTTCAATTTCAGTTTCAGTGCTTTTTTTGTAATGGGGGAAACAAAATGATATGAGAAAATGGCAGCAGCACTAACCCACGCATCTCCAGGGAAGCTACAGCATTAACTTCAACCTGCAATTGGACCAGGTTACTGTCTGGGTTCTGGCTGTTCTTACTGAAAACAATAAGAGAGATCAATCAGATGAAACAGAAGATAATGATTGTTGTTATCATGCGCAAAATGTACCAGAACAGTTTAGCGTTTTTTTATGGAGCAGACAAGCTAGCAAAACAGACATGATTTTGTTCTGTTTTGTTAACAGCACAGATGGTTTGTGTATATGAATGTTCACACCTTCGTATTTGCATTTGGAATGTGATGTGGTTCTCCACCTGTTCCAGACCACCCATGCTGAAGTAAAGACCTGCTTTCAGCTGAATGAGAGAAAACAACCGAGAGCAAAATGTTCTATAACAGGCTGAACATGAATGGTCACCCAAGGTGGGTTATTATGTTGATCATGTCACCCTGACCTGATGTCCAGCCTCCATGGGGTTTCCCAGATCACAAACCACAATGACTGAGCCGTTCTCCTTTTTCTGACCGCACACCAAGTGAGTGAAGTCCTGCACAACACATTTTACACCTTAATGTGACTCAACCCAGCAATAATGCTACTATTCACATGAACATAAAAGACGTGTGATGACAGAAAGGGGGCAGTCAGATGTCATTTGTTAGGCTTGCTCTAGTTGTCTGGCCAATGGAAGTTTCATAAAGCTGTTGTCTGTTTGAAGATCTTGCTTTCATGAGGACTATATACACACAGCTGTAAAAGTTCAGACAGACGTCTGAAAAAAGTGTTGTTATTTTTAACTACAATTTTTTTTAACTATTAAAAATATTAAAAAGTTATTGATTGAAAGGAAATAAAGCTGTACTTTATATACAGTATATATATACACACACACACACATATTTAATAATAATATAAATAAATAATATAAATATTAGACTAAAAACCTCAACATTATGTACACACACACACACACAGAAAGACAGATAGATAGATAGAAAAACACAAAAGCACATAGAATTACTAAAACTTAAACTAAAATTAATCATAAATAAATAAATAATTATTTCTATACAAAATAACTCTCAGACTGAATAAACTGACCTTAAAGGTGTAGTCACATTTACTGTTGTTCAGCAACTTTTCATAATTTTAATTTCAATAGGAATCCATGCAAATTGGAATTTTGCTTGAAAGCGAAAGATTTCCCCATGCAGATTTTGCTCTGGGTTCAAGTTTGTCGTGTTGACCAACATGGTTTAAAAGTGACTTCTATTTGAGCTGTGCTTCATGTATTGCTACACTTGACAATGGACATTTCTGCCCACAAAATTATGCCAAAATTTCACTAATGTGACAACACCTTAAGGCACACAACTAAACATTGTTGCTTTTTTGTAAGCAAACTGATATAAATTTCTCAGAGTACAACAGTAACGGTCTGTTCACACAACAGCATGATTGGAATTGATGTTCTGTAACTTGTGATCCTGTCTGCAACAAACAGGAAGTGACTAAACCCTCACCTCCTGGTTGCTCACAACACCCTGATAATGCGTGTGTGCCGGCGGGCTGATATATAGCTCAGTCTCATACGCTCCCTCTCCTTGATTCTCAGCCTCGATAATCAGCAGCGCTGGATTCTCATCTCCGATCAGGATTGGTTGTGTTGACCTGTTTTTGACAAATGTTTACTTGTCTGTAACAGGTTTATAACTATAAATGTAACAAGATAACAAAGGAACTTACGCTACTGCCTTCAACTTCAGGTCTGGTATACAGATGTTATCTGGACCACAGTTTAGTATTATCCGTGTCTAGATAAAACAAAAGCTTTCAACAGGTTCATATAAATGTGTACGTTTCACTGCAATGACAAAAACAATATATTCCAGCCTTCACCTGTCCAACGGCGACACTTTGTCCATGCAGCACTGCATCTTGCGAGTCAGTCAGGCTATAGTTCACTGAGATGAAGATTGGACTCAGCTTGTCCTTAAACTCAGGCTAAAAAGGAATAGAATGAGACAAAAGATTACCCACTGAAAAAACTGCAACAACTTGCATTTTAAATGACAAGAAAGGATAAGTGAGAGAATTTGATTACAGCAAGAAAGTCACATGAATGACCTGTTGTGCAGTTGGGAGCACAAAAGCATTTCGGTTTGTACTTAGCGCTAACTAGATCTAATTTATGAGTGTATATAGTCGTTGTACTCTCAACAGCACTCAAAACATTCAGTGTTCTGCAACGTGAAGGTCACAGGACTCATGCTTCTCATCCACAGGTCTCAGTTCCTGCACATCAATATTTTGAAAAATAGTTGAAGAGGATGAAACATACCAGTAGGTAGGCCGTGAAGTTCCTGCAGACATCTGCTGAGTTTCTCTCCACTGAGAGCTGGAAGTAAGTGTACGGCTGGTTGGAGTCCAGTAGGAGGGTTCGTCTGGCCATGCTCTGCTTCATCCTGTCCAGCTGAAGCTCTGCGTTTAGCACTAGAAAAAAATATGTTGCAAACAGTTAAAAAAACCTGCAAATCTTTGATGACACCTTTAATGCACCCCAAAATTTTTATTTTAAGACCCTTTATATGCACAATAAGCTGAATTTAAAACTCACATTCTTAAATTCCAATGCTTTATTTTTAATTGTTGGTTTATTTAAATTAGATCTATCCATCTATCTATCTATCTATCTATCTATCTATCTATCTATCTATCTATCTATCTATCTATCTATCTATCTATCATGACAACTCTCTGAAGTTTTTAGCATGGTAATGGATATGACAACGCAGATCTATACAGGTGGAGCTGAGGAAGGTGCAGGGTTTCAGGAACTCTGAATGCGCACTGACAAATTCTCTAGTAAATGCTCTAGTGTAACCATCCATTCAAATATAAAGCAGCAAGCACTTTAGCTGCGTGTGCAACATGAACCAATTTAGAACCAACATGAACCGCCAGACTGCTCAATAGTTTTTTCCCCCAGGCTGTGAGAGCCCTGAACTCAAATCACCCCGCCCTCCTCTGAAACCCCATACAAAACCCCTACCTCCTGAAACATGGACCGTCTTATCTCCCACAACACCCATCCCCCCCCCCTTTTCACACACACTTATTTGTGTACATAATCCCACAAAAGACTCCGTAATATGTGTGTTTACATGCTCATGCACTACAAATCATCTTGCACTGTTCCCCAGCCAGCTGCTTGACTTACGATGTTTCTCTTTGCACATATACAGTATTATGTGAAGCATCCGTATAGTCTGTATTTTTTTAATTTATGTATAGGTAAACATTTATATATATAGTATATTTATAGTCAAAATCAGTCAGTAGGCTAGTTGTGTATAGGTTTTACTGTTTTACTTCATTGTTGTATGCCTGTATTTATGTAGAACCGTGGTCCTGTGAGGACTGTATGTCCCCCACATGTAGCAGAATGACAATAAAGCTCAACTTGACTTGACTTGACTTTAGCTTGTGCCAAGGAGTTTAACGCTGTAAATATCATGAGTTTGCATTGAAGACCCATCAGCCTGCGCCATCTAGAGTTTCATGACAGAACTTGGCATATACACTCTTAAAAATAAAGGTGCTTCACGATGCCATAGAAGAACCTTTTTGTCTAAATGGTTCCATAAAGCACCTTTAACATCTGAAGAACCTTTCTGCTTCTTTGTGGTGAAAGAAGGTTCTTCAGATTATAAAAAGGTAAGAAAGAGATGATTCTTTAAAGAACCTTTGACTGAATGGTTCTTTGTGGAACCAAAATGGTTCCTCTATGGCATTGCTTGAAGAACCTTTTGAAGCACCTTAATTTTTAAGAGTGTACAGTATATATATATATATATATATATATATATATATATATATATATATATATATATATATATATATATGCTTGCTTCAGGACACTTGCATTATTAGGGATGCTTATTACCACTATTAATAATTTCATATGGATCACATACCAATCTCCTCAGGAATCCTGTGGCCAGAAACACTAATGCATGCCATAATTATAAAGCTAAGGAAAAGAGAAAACAAGTGCTTATTATAAACATTTTATAGATGTACTGCAACTATGTGGGTTGGAATTCAAAGCATGCAGAAAATATGGATTACATCACTGATCAATGAAGGTCCTTGATGCATTGTGATTGTGCATTAGTCCTATAAAAAGATGTGGGTGCAATCAATAGCTTACTGTACCATTGCTGACCCGAACTCTGCTAATCCTTGAGAAGCTTTTCATGGCTGACTAATCAAGCATGAATGTCAGCCACTTGAATCATGATGACATGAAGCTGTCTCTTGAACTAAGTTCAGATACATTACCAAGTAATGAAGGTGTTGCTCTGGTGGAGTTGACAGAATTTGTCTTCGGGATTCAAAAGATCAGGGAAGAATGAGACTCGAGCCTGTGTCCTCACTACAGCCTGTGCCCTGATAAAGTCAAACACATTATTGATCCAACATGCAGAATCACTTCAGTTGTTCTCAACTGGTGGGTCACGACCCACAGCAGGGAAAAACTGCAAAATTTTGCTGTTATTATCAAAGGCTGTGTGTACCATCAAACTCTATGGCATTTTTTTTAACCAATGGAGTATTGTGGAATTTGGCATTATTATTATTTTTTTAAGAAGTGTATAGGTGACCCTGGACCACAAAACCAGTCTTAAGTCGCTGGGGTATATTTGTAGCAATAGCCAACAATACATCGTATGGGTCAAAATTACAGATTTTTCTTTTATGCCCAAAATCTTTTGGATATTAAGTAAAGATCATGTTCCATGAAGATATTTTGTAAATTTCCTACTGTAAATATATCAAAACTTAATTTTTGATTAGTAATATGCATTGCTAAGGACGTCATTTGGACAATTTTAAATGTGATTTTCTCAATATTTAGATTTAGATTGTTTTGCACCCTCAGATTCCAGATTTTCAAATAGTTGTATCTCGACCAAAGATTGTCCTATCCTAACAAACCATACATACATGGAAATCTTATTTATTAAGCTTAGCTCAATTTTAAAAAATTGACCCTTATGACTTTTTTTTTGTGGTCCAGGGTTACATATATAGACTTTATACAAGTGTGCATATGATTTTATGGTGCATTTGGTATGGTATATGGCACATATGGATATTTTTATGGTAATATTAATGAATGAATTAATCAATACATATTATTATTAAATAAATACATAATTAGTTGTATTTTTATGAATATATTAATTATTGTTCATGTTTTATTTATTTTATTAATTAATTATACTTTATTTTATCTTTATAAGAGAATTCACAGTTTGACTTTTTTCCCCCCTTCATATGATACAGTAATTTTGGTACTGTGTTGGGTCACCACTTGATGTCCAATGCAAAATCCAGGTCCTGAATTAAAAACCAGTTGAGAACCTCTGGTTTAGACCAATATAATGAAAATTATGAAGTGTATATGACCATATGATTACAATAAAGCATTTAGGTTTTTTTGCAGTAATTTGGATTATTTTAAACTGGTACCTGTATGCTGCCACTTTGCTCGCACCCCAAGCACCAATAATGAGATCTAAAAGGGGAAAACCAAAGAATATTATATGCCTTGAAATCCAGAATGGCTCTACCAACGAAATCAAAGTGAGTAAAAAAGGGATTGAGGTACATGACAGTCATGTTCAGGGACGCGGGAAGTAGGGGTGCTGAGGGGGCTGCAGCACCCCCTGTTTTCACATGGTTGCAAATGCAATGCCAAGTTTGTTCATTTAAATTGATTCAGTTTAGCATTATAATAATTTATTTGTAATGATCTCTGAAATGTAAATTGTAAGTGGGCTATAATAAACCCATGTTTATATTTATAAACATGATTAATTTTACTTGTGATGTTTTCTATATGGGATGATTAGCCTAATGTCATGTTAAACTAGAGGAAAGGAAGTGTGGGGACTACTTTGTCTGGCAGAAGTGACCTAAGAGATCAGCCACCACAGGCAGAGAGTGAGATAAAGAGCGCCAAGAGTCCCTCTCAAGAGCTTGAGGTGCTGTGTGTCAAAAAGCATTGCCATGTCCACACTGGACCCCAGTGTCAGAGCCCTTTTCCATTTATATCTGTACTAAGAGGGCTGTGGCACTGACTAAAGCATTCCTGTCTCATGGTGACTCTCTCGTGCCGCCCAGACAGCCCTTCGCTCCTCCCAAGGGATTGTGGGAAAAGGCTCTTAGTGGAGATTGTTCACAACAGACATTCAAACTTTGAGGACAATTTCTAAAGCTTAGGTTGGCTCTACCATTCGGTTATTTGTGGGTTTTGTACTCTAAGCATGACTCATAGGTGGCTTTATAGGGTTGTTGGGAAGGTTATGATGTATTTTGATGCAGTGACCCAGCTGAGGTTTACTGGTCAGATTTTAATGGAAGGTAATGGGAGGAGCACAGTGGTCCCAGGGTTCTGGTGAAAAGAGCTAGCATTTGCTGACATTGGTTGGAGACAAAATGAAAAAATTTAACAAAATAAATCATTTGAGTTTTCAATTTAAAGGGATAGTTCACCCCAAAAATTAAATCTCATTTCACCCTCCAAATGTCCAATGGAGATCCATACAATAAAAGTTTCACCATACTTTTATTATGGCTTTATGTATTTTATGTATCTCATTGTATTGTTGATTTTTCCTCTTTTCAGTTCTAGAGAAGAAATAAAGCATGACTGCTTTCCAGTATTTTTAAGTAATATATCACATACCTGGATATCCATTATCATCAATATCTGTCGCTCCTCTCATGCTGAAACCAAACATCGGAGGATCTTTGAGGGTCTTAAACGGGCTCTCAATGACCTGAACATACTGGTTGGTCAAGCCATCACTCTGACCCAGGTAAATAAACACTTGACCTCCTTCACCAGAGCCAGGTGCCCCAACAGCCACATCTGAGGATAAAGGAATAATAAATGAAAATAATAAAATATAAAAATAATAAATAATAATAAAAAATTATATAGTTTGTTCAGCCAGTAAAGTAAAGAAGAGTATATGTATTTAGCATGAGAATGCATTTTCTTTCATAGTAAAATATTGGTAAAATGGTGTTATTATACACTATTCAAACTTTTGATATTAGTATGAGTTTATTTATTTTTGAAATTAATACTTTTGTTCACCAAAAGGGACTGTAAAGACAATAAAAAAAAATAAATGTAAATATGTCTTTACAGTTTTATAATAAAAAATGTATCACAATTTCTACAAAAATATTAGGCTGCATGACTGATTTCAACACTGATAATAATCAGCAATGTTTCTTGAGCAGCAAATCAGCATATTAGAATGATTTCTGAAGGATCACGTGACACTGAAGACTGGAGTAATGATGCTGAAAATTCAGCTTTGATCACAGGAATACATTCCATTTTACAATATATTCAAATATAGAAAACATACACTTTAAAATGTAATAATACTTCACAATATTACTGTTTTTGATTTATTTTTAATTGAATAAATACAGACATGGTGAGCCTTTTTTGTTCAAATATTTGAACAGTAAAGTAGTTATTACATAATATTTGGATAGTATCTAAAAACGTATGCTTACTTTTCCATCCCATGATATCTAAGACATTGTCATTATACTTTTATGATAACGAACATAATTTATTTATTTATTTTTTGTACAGTTTAATCTCTTTTAAACCTTAGGATAAGCACTAGAACTCCACATGAATCTGAGTTATATTGTGACAGCCGAAGAACGCCTGACCCATTTAGGTCAAATCACTTTCAGATGCTGCTTTCATAACTGAGAAAAATGAACTCCAGCTGTTTTTAAGAGACAAGATTCATTTGCTTGTAACTAGAAAAAAATTAAGATTCTGGTGCTGAATGTAATTTTGTATAAGAGCAACCGCAATGTCTAATGCAAAAGACTTTACATCCTGTAAAGATCAATGTTTGGGTCTACTGCCTGATTTTTCTTCAGATTTGTCTTGTGTCTTCATTAAAAGCATTTGGTTGTTCATTTTGTTCTTGTACTTATACACAGATGGGTTGTGCTCAAAAGTATCTATGAAAATATTAAACTGCATGCTATTTTCACTGCAAATCCTTCTCTGTAAAGTCAGATAAGTCCTTACCATTAAAGCCATCATGGTCGATGTCTCCCAAAGGGGCTATAGCACTGCCAAAACGCCCATAGGCATATATCCCTGTCAGGATCTGGTTGGGTCTAGAGGAGAAGGAGAAGCCCTGTCTTTGCAGGTAAACATAGACTTGTCCCACTTCTCGAAATTTCTGAGTGGATAACTGCTCCATAAAAAGAGGTGCTCCAATCAGGATGTCGTCACACCTGATGACCACAGAGAGGAGACAATTCATCTCATAAAAACATTTAATCAATTCTCATGAACAACCAGAAAGAGAAACTGGTCTCTGCAGGAATGATTTACCCATCTCTGTTGATGTCTGTTACTGCCACAGAATGTCCAAAATAAGATGCTATCTACAGAAAAACAGACAAAAAGTATCATTACTGCATTTAAAAAAAAAAAAGTACCATTCAAATAATTTGGATCGGTAGGATTTTTTCATGTTTCTGAAGACTCTTATGCTCACAACGTCTGCAATTATTTGATCAAAAATATGGTAAAACCGTAATATTATGAAAAAAGTATTACCGTATTGGCCCGAATATAAGACGACCCTGATTATAAGACGACCCCGCTTTTTCCAGATGTACCGTTTGGAAAAAGGCTTTTTAAAAACCAAATCTTATTTTTTTTCTCCGTAAAACACATTTTGTCTTCAATTATTTTCATATTGCATATTTTTCCTATTTTAATTTTTGTTTTGAAAGTATGGTAAAAACTGGTAAAATGTACTAACAATCACATTTAAAAAATATACACTTTTTGATATACCATTAAATAAATAAAAAACAGGCAGCCCATCTGAATTAGAACATTTAGACTATCCATCTAATAGTAGCCTACCAAAATCTTATTAACAGTAGAAGTTAAATCTTACTGTAGTCTTCAAATCTGGGTACTGACTTACGTTTTAAAATCACAAAGAGAGTTTGGTCCCATCAGGCTAACGTGACAGTCACGACTCATGCAGCTGTAAGCTTTTCTTTTTCTTTTGATTTTACTCGCGATCTTCACATTACGTATTTCACGGCACACTCGTTTTATGCGTATTTGGCGCCACCTATTGTTGTGGGTGTATTATTGACAAGTTAAAGTCTAGACCCTGAATATAAGACCACCACGTTTTTTCAGATGTATTTCCAAGAAAAGAACATCGTCTTATATTCGGGTCAATACGGTACTATTCAAAATAACTGTTTTCTATTATAATACGTTTTAAAATGTAATTTATTCCTGTGATGCAAAGCTGAATTTTCAGCAGTCATTAATCCAGTCGTTAGTGTCACATGATACTTCAAAAATCATCTTATATGACGATTTGGTTCTCAAGAACATTTCTTATTATTATGAAACAGTTGTGCTGCATGTGGAAACCGTAATACATAATCAGTATATATATATATTTCAGGATTCTTTGATGAATAGAAAGTTCAAAAGAACAACATTTGTTTGAAACTTTTTAACAACTTGTGAACACTCTAATGTGTACTAGCTGAAGAAAATTATATATATATATAATTTTATTCAGCTATATTATATATTATATATAATTTTATTCAGCTATATTATATATATATATAAATCCAGTATCTCAAAATATTAGAATATTTCCTAAGATTAATAAAAAAAAAAGGATTTGCAAAACAGAAAAGTTCAAGTTTGGACTAGTATTTTTGTATTATTCAAAATGGTATGTCTGATTTATTATGGCTGATTGTGATTTGGTATTGGTAATTACTGAGGGTAGGATTTAATAAGCCTAGGGCTTCTACCTACCCTTTTTTTTATTTCGAACAGGTTGAATATATGTAAAAAATAAAAATAATAATAATAATTTATATTTGTTGATTTTTGTTTTTTTTTGTTTTTGTTTTTGTTTATTGGTATTTATTTGTATCTTTATTATGTTTTTTTCCTTTTGTATTTTTAATAGTTCAAAATAAAAATACAAAAGGAAAAAAACATAATAAATATATAAATAAATACCAATAAACAAAAACTAAAAAAATAAAATCAACAAATATAAATTATTATTATTATTTTTTATTTATTTTACATATATTCAACCTGTTCGAAATATAAAAGGGTAGATAGAAGCCCTAGGCTTATTAAATCCTACCCTCAGTAATTACCAATACCAAATCACAATCAGCCATAATAAATCAGACATACCATTTTGAATAATACAAAAAAAAAAAAGTTCTTTAAAGTATGTTCATTTATGTGCTCAATACTTGGTCGGGGCTCCTTTAGCACAAACTCCAGCATCAGTGAGGTGTGGCATGTAAGCCATCAGCCTGTGGCACTATTGAGCCTTCAGCTTGTCTGTATTGTTGAATCCACTGTTTCTCATCTTTCTCTTGAAAATATCCTATAGATTCCATATGGGGTTCAGGTCAGGCATGTTGGCTTGCCAATCAAGCACTGTAATATCATGGTCAGCAAACCACTCGGAAGTGGTTTTGGGCAGGTGCTAAAGTCCTGCTGGAAAAGGAAATCAGCATCTCCATAAAGTTTGTCAGCAGATGGAAGCATAAAGTGCTCTAAAATCTTCCGGTAGATGGCCACATTGACTTTGGACGTGATAAAACACAATAGACCACTGACTTCGGAAACTTCACACTGGACTTCAAGCAGCTTGGATACTGTGCCTCTCCAGTCTTCCCCCAGACTCCAGACCTTGATTTCCAAATGAAATGCAAAATTTACTTTCATCTGAAAAGAGGACTTTGGACCACTGAGCAACAGTCCAGTTCTTTTTCTCCTTACCCCAGGTAAGATGCTTCTGACGTGGTTTCTGTTTCAGAAGTGGCTTGTTAGCCCTTTCCTGAAGATGTCTGAGCATGGTGACTCTTGATGCACTGACTCCAGCTTCAATCCACTCCTTGTGAAGTTCTCCCAAGTGTTTGAATTGGCTTTGCTTGACAGTATTCTCAAGCTTGTGATCATCCCTGTTGCTTGTGCACCTTTCCCTACCCAATTTCTTCCTTCCAGTCAACTTTGCATTTAATATGCTTTGATACAGCACTCTGTGAACAGCCACCCCTTTCAGTAATGACCTTCTGTGACTTTCTCTCTTTGTGGAGGGAGTCAATGATTGTCTTCTGGACCATTGCCAAGTCAGCAGTCTTCCCCATTATAGTAGTTTCAAAGAACAAGAGATACCCGGAATTTATACTGTAGGGATGGTCATTTAATGAAACTCATATTCTAATATTTTGAGATGGATATGGATGGATTGTGGATTTTTGACTTTCATGAGCTGAAAGCTCTAATCATCAAAAAAAAAAACAACAACTTTGAAATGTTTTACTTTACATATAATGAATCTAGAATATATAAAAGTTTCACTTTTTGAAATGTTACAAAAAATAACTTTTTCACAATATTCAAATTCTTTGAGATGCACCTCTATATAAAAAAAATCCCTGACCCCAAACTTTTAAACAGTACTGTAATAGCTTAACAATAATAGACTATTGAGAACAAATTAAACAGAATTTTAACATATCCAGTATTACAAATCAAATCAAATAACCTGGATGCCACTAATCGCCTTCATGATTTTCAGGGGCACAGTTGCTCCATTTATTATTTTAACCTAAAAACAAGCACAGTACAACAACAAATTACCCAGATCAAGTCCATAATCAATTGTGTAACTGTACAAGAGGATAATTGAAGTGCATAATCATCCATGTAACAGTGTAAGAGTGCTTACAGAGCCTGCGGTGTGCAAATCGTTTGGGACGCCAACAACATAATCTGCAATCATTGTCAAATAAAGGTGAGAAAACAGTGCAGATAAGAGCTGCAGATGAAATTCATGCTGCATTTTTTTAATTGAATGCATGAAAAAATTCAAATGGCGGGTTATTTATGCTTATCACCTGTGACGTTGTCTTTATTAAAATGCCCAAAAGCAACAGAGTATCCTATGATGCAGAACAATGACAAAACCTTACTTATTATATAGAAAAGAGATAACTTAGTCTCAGTTTCTAATGTCAGACATCACATCTTACCCAGATACAGGTCGTAGTCGTCAGGTCTTTGTGGAGTTTTGGTCTCACCGCTCACTGAGTGAATGGGAGAGAATGCACTGCCACTACTCATGATGTTAGCAAGAGATGCAGTGATGATCTGACCTGAAGTAAAGAGAAAAGATGCGTGACAGTGCCGCTGTAGTCACAGCAAACTTCACAAAGTCATATAAACCCCACTGAAAGTGCTCTGTCAATTCGCATTTAAAACAAAAAATCTTTTCAAATATTTGAATCACTGTAGTAAAATCAACCTGGCTCTAGACTAAAGGGAATATTCTTTGTAAAATCGCCTCCTCTACATGCTGTAGCTTTTCTAACATACTTTACCTTGAAAATAATAGCCTCCTGGTGCACCAAGTATCACTCTGCCATTCTGTCACAGCCATCGTTTTTAAATACAGGGAAAAAGAAGAGATGTTATACCATTTAATAAACATTTTTATGGTATCGTATGTACTGCATATAATGGCATTGTATGGGAAGGAATTCATTCATTCATTCGTTCAGACACCTCATACAGGTGTATGGATATGCAAATACATTCAAATAGCTATTCAGATTACTCCACTGTCATTAAAAGAGAAGCAAGGAACCTCTGTGATATCTGTGGTAAATCCAGCCTCACAGTAACGCCTGTCAGGATCTGCACATAGGGATTGGGCCATTATTGGTCAGAGTGCTTGAAACATTAGACACTGAAGAATAATCACAGAGTATGTATAATGCATATTTATAATGCATATTTATCAACAGAACTGTATTCATAGCGGCTATGTTACTGAATAGGACAGCAGTAAATGCAGCATCTTACAGCCACTGGCGTAAATCCCCTCTACATAAAGTTCCCTGCAGGGGGCGTAGTTTGCCACCTCTCCTGTTTGCATGTCCAAAAGCTTGCAGTTCCCAACAGGTGTATTCATGGCTTCCTCCTTTTCCATAAGCACGTTCCAGTGGAACATAGGAGCACAGGCCTGCCGAACAGGAAATACGTAATATATATCAACCAGAGGCATTTTATAAATTGAAAACTTTATTCTAAAAACCTATTGGAATTTCCATAGGCTTGTAAATGCTAATTCCTGGGTTTTAAGACTAGATACTAAATACATAATATATTATATAATGATACTAAATACATAATATATTAGGCCTATATAATGTTTCTATTGTGTTTTTAAACAACATTTTAGTATCCACAAAGCTACAAGTTAATCAAATCACGCTAATAAACAGACTCTTGTGAAAGTTAAATTGCAAATGTGAGGACCTTTTTCTTCAACGCGGAAGTAAGCCTTTGGGTGAGACTTCCAGTTCATTAGCCGCTATAGGTAAATAACGAGGAGAATAACAACGTGCAGTAAACGGTAAAACTCTTTGCACTACAAACCAGTGTGTTCATAATTAAGATAATACATTAAAATAATATGAGACACACCAACTTTCAATATCAAGCAGCAAAACGAACTGTTTTGTTCAGCTAAAAATAGCTGGACGGAGTGGACGCAGATGAGACCGGAAGCCAGACCCATAGAATTTACAAATGGCCGCGCCCATGTTTACGACAAGAAAAAGGTGGATAGAGACAGAGCGACACGCGTCATAATCGACAGCTTATAAAAACTTAGTTCTGGGTTGTTTAGCTCATTTGCTGTACACCTTGTCACATAGCAGCTTTTAGGCATTGTTCTGTTTTTTGTTATAAGTCAGAAATGACAATGAGGCAGCTTCCTGCAATAGAAAGTCAATGGAGAGCGTCGGATTGTTTTCCCCCCGGTGTGGGCGTGGCCTAAATGCGCTCTGTGTCTACAGAAACCATTCGCAACCATTTGTTATGGGACAGTATGTCTACAGTAAAAACATAAGTACTTCATTTATTTACCACTTTTCATCGTAGATTCAGTAATTAAAAAATGTTAGGCTGCTGTTTTGTTTAAAACAACTTAAAGTTGAAAGTGCTTAAAGTGGCAAAATACTAAAACAAACATGAAATGCTGACACAAATTCTATAAAACATCCCTGAATAATTAGCACACTACATAATCAGACTACTTATGGCAAATTTAGGCCCAATCCCAATTCTATTTTATACCCCTTCCCCTTCCCCTTCCCCTTCCCCTACCCCTCCGCCTACCCCATTCCCCTTGTCCCTTGAAACAGAGTATCAAGGGGTAGGGGTGAAAATATTCCCCTAAGAATTGGGACACCACTACTATGCCGTCACACGTCATCATACGTCGTCTAGCTCCTACAATACACACACTATTCTGGTGTGCTGGTGTGCATTAGAGCCTTTAATTACCGTTCTATATTAATGCTCTGCTTACTGACACACACACACACACATATATATAGTAGATCGCGCAGCTCACACATCCAGGAGAAAAGAAACTTGTCAACGCTGCCCCACGACTTTTATTAATAAGAGTTTAAATACTGAATCGCTACATTATATTTTTCAGCAACGAGAGGATAAAATCGCCGTTTTTTAAGTAAACTCACTCTTAAAAAGAGAAACGCACAGACGCACATACACACATCTTTCATCTCTCTCTCTCTCTCTCTCTCTCTCTCTCTCTCTTTGGCAATATTCGAGAAAAGGGTTGAGTGATTTCTAATTATTGGGGGGACTAGCCCCCCTCAATGTCTA